CTAGCTGGAATTGTGACATCTAAAAAAAAAAAACAGGAAGAAGTGAGCCAGTGTTTGAGGGCACAACAGACTTGCTGTATCTCTTCTAATTTGTCCGTCTCCTCTTGTGTGTGCAGGTGTACGTGTGTGTAGATGTGTGACAGCGGAGTGTGTGAGGACAAGCCCCCCGCCCCCCCTGTCAGGATGAGCAGCCAAGGAGGAGCCAAGGACCCGCAGTCGGCCAATCACAACTCTCGCCCACTGCCGTCTGTACCGGAGGAGAAGAAGTCCAGAAACAAGATCATCTCCATGTTTGCCTCTGAGAAAGGTAAGGGGATGTGGAGCGTAGACACACACACACACACACACACACACACACACACACACACACACACACACACACACACACACACACACACACACACCCACACACACACACACAATAAAACCACAGCAAACACACCCATCATCGCCAACTTCATCTCTACCTGCAGGAGGCAGGAAGAAGGACCGCGACAAGGACAGACCCGAGATCTCCTCGCCCTCAGACTTTGAACACACCATCCATGTGGGCTTCGATTCGGTCACTGGAGAGTTCACTGTAAGTAAATCAAATCAACATTTATTATAGCCCCAAATCACAAGAAATGCCTCAAAGGGCTGTACAAAGCAAACAAAAGCAAAATACAAACTTCATAGCATAATAATTATAAAAACATTATACATCAACATAAGTATTACCATGTGATAAAAGCAGGTGACTGAAGTGACGCTAATGTAGATGGAAACTAGGTGGTGGAAATGAGTTTAAAAGGAAGACAGATGCGATGAGATGGTTTTTGAGTTTGCTTTTAAACAGAAATAGCTTCGTGGATCTGAAATGGAAAACACCGTTTAAAACGCTGGGATGTAGTTACAAAATATTGATATCCCTCTCATGTTTGTACCCGCATTGAATAACTTCTTCGTTTACATAAACACTTTAAATGTTGAAGGTCACCTCATTTTCTAAAGCACTTTGGATTGCCTTGTGTTGAAAGGTGCTATATAAATAAACTAGCCTTGCTTTTTTACATAAGATTTTCTGAACAAGAACACTGACATGAGGAAAATGTTTGGTAAAAAATAATGGAGTAAAGATGTAATTATACTCTCTAACCTAAGAGTATATCAGGTTTAAATTGAAAGGAAACACTAAAACTCAGCTTGGACAATTCACTTTGCGTCAAATAGTAATAATAATCGGAGAGAAACGGCTATCCTGTCACGGTCTAAAGTCTAACTCATTTCCAGCTACATATGTGGACATGAGAATCGTGTTGATCTTCATTGAATTGTTGAAATATCTCATCTAGGAAATACTTTAGTAATATGTTACATTTTGCTCTATAACATCAAGCGCTCTGTCCCATCAAAGGAATCAAATATATGAAAAGAAAGTCACTCCAGTATCACAAGCTGTGAAAGAAATACTGCAAATAGTTAACACGTAGCTACAGGAGCGCCACATTGACCAAGATATTTTTGTCTTTGTTCTATGAGTAGTGTTGCGGCTATAGGCAGTCTGATTAAAAGCGGCCGCGAGGGGTTAATAAGGGAAGTGAAACACTTTGACGCACTCAAACAATTGTTCTACTACTCCTTCCCTTTTCGTTTGACCATTTATTGCAAAAATAGCAAGCAAAAATACAATGTATCCAGACAATGATAACCTTAAGTGCGCTGACGTTGCCACTGATAGTTAAGGGTATTGCGGTGGACATTTTTGCAGGACTTTAGTGTACATTTCACCCCCTCTCTTTCCATACCAAACCACACTGAGCAGGTGAGTGCAGGTTCAACAACCACTTAGAAAATACCACGTGATAAATAAAAACACATATGTGGCTCCTACAGGTAAAGTCATTTAAAAACAGGCATTAAAAAGCAAAGATAATACAATAAACACAACCGATATAGAATACATGAATAAAAGCCATACTGAAGTGTGGATATAAACGGCTCACTCAAATGCAGCGACAAAAAGATACGTTTTTAGTCTGGATTTAGGTAGATCTCTGTATATGTTTTTCAACGTGTGTGTGTGTGTGTTCAGGGCATGCCGGAGCAGTGGGCCCGTCTCCTCCACACCTCCAACATCAGCAAATCAGAACAGAAACAAAATCCTCAGGCTGTCCTCGACATTCTCAAGTTTTACGACTCCACCAGTGGAAAACAGAAATACCTCAGTTTCTCCGCCTCGGGTCAGTTGCTCAACATATTAATAAAAAGTACAATGTTGTGACTGCACAGGTTCCTCATCTGTCCTTTCCCTCTACCTCTTTCAGATAAAGACTCGCAGTCGGTAAGGGGTTCCTTTCATCGTTTCCACTCTCATTCACCACATCACGTTGTGCTTATTGTCACTGTCACTCTTTAATATATGTTTGCTGTTGCAGTCAGGAAAGCAAGGTACAGCCACCTCCAAATCAGGGGGAAAGGATGGAGACGACGATGACGAAGACGACTCGCCTCCTCCAATCGTGGCCCCGCGGCCAGAACACACAAAATCAGTGAGTCCAAGTGTGTTGTTTGATGTTTCTGATTTTAAAACCTTGTATGGATACAATTAGGGTTGCCAGAAACTGACCATGATCAAAATCGATTATGGAGACTGTAACGAATAATCGAATAATCGCTGGCATCCCTAGATACAATACTATTTCATATTTGCAAGGCAAGTTTATTTATATGGCACATTTCACCACAAGGCAATTCAAAGTGCTTGATGAATGAAAGACATTAAGAGCTTTAAGAAAGATATTATGAAATGACATTTAAAAGCAAAGATACATGAATAAAAGTTACAGTGCAATGTTGAAATGTTTAGGTCTGACTCTCAATCATTGCTAACTTTTTAGCAGCAATAGTTTTCTACCACCTCCCTTTCTTTCTACTTTCTTGTTTAACTTATCCGTTAGTTATGTCAAGTGTTTCAAGCGAACCCCCCTTTAGGAAATTCTAATCTGACCTTTTTAGTTTGAGCCGAAACTATTCCCCTTACACATACTGTTCCATTAGATGTTAGTCCTTATTGCTTGAGAGTAAGGATTTACAAGCAGCTCATAATAAAAAGGGAGTGATTTGAGAAGACAAAATGGAAGAGACATCCACTATTAATCATTGGACAAAAATTGTGAAATACGTTTTATGGAGAGATTGTCGTTTTCCCTAAAGGCCAAAAATGAATTTGGACCAAGAGATCTGAGGATAGTAAACCAAGTCAAAGTGTATCTGACTTTATAGAATAAACGATGTGACTTATATTACTGTATCGCCTCCAACAGTGTCTTCTTTGTTTCTTTTTGAAAATCTAAGATAAGCGCTTCCCATGGTCAATTGTAAATATTTAAATCTTATTTTATGAAGAAAACATCTGGAAGTGCAAGATGGTAAGGTTTGTTTTACTTATTTACTGCCAGTAATACTAATACGGTGTAAAATAATAACATTTTAAAGGTCACCTATTATCAAAATCCACTTCTTCATGTCTCTTCTACATCAACATGTGTCCCCTCTTCTTCATGTCTCTTCTACATCAACATGTGTCCCCTCTTCTTCATGTCTCTTCTTCATCAACATGTGTCCCCTCTTCTTCATGTCTCTTCTACATCAACATGTGTCCCCTCTTCTTCATGTCTCTTCTACATCAACATGTGTCCCCTCTTCTTCATGTCTCTTCTACATCAACATGTGTCCCCTCTTCTTCATGTCTCTTCTACATCAACATGTGTCCCCTCTTCTTCATGTCTCTTCTACATCAACATGTGTCCCCTCTCTCACGTCTTTCTACATCAACATGTGTCCCTTTCTTCACATCTCTTCTACATCAACATGTGTCCCCTCTTCTTCAATGTCTCTTCTACATCAACATGTGTCCCCTCTTCTTCATGTCTCTTCTACATCAACATGTGTCCCCTCTTCTTCATGTCTCTTCTACATCAACATGTGTCCCTCTTCTTCATGTCTCTCCACATCAACATGTGTCCCCCTCTTCTTCATGTCTCTTCTACATCAACACTGTGTCCTCTTCTTCACGTCTCTTCTACATCAACATGTCTCTTCTTTCTCTATACAACATGTGGTCCCCTCTTCTTCATGTCTCTTCTACATCAACATGTGTCCCCTCTTCTTCATGTCTCTTCTACATCAACATGTGTCCCCTCTTCTTCATGTCTCTTCTACATCAACATGTGTCCCCTCTTCTTCATGTCTCTTCTACATCAACATGTGTCCCCTCTTTTCATGTCTCTTCTACATCAACATGTGTCCCCTCTTCTTCATGTCTCTTCTACATCAACATGTGTCCCCTCTTCTTCATGTCTCTTCTACATCAACATGTGTCCCCTCTTCTTCATGTCTCTTCTACATCAACATGTGTCCCTCTTCTTCATGTCTCTTCTACATCAACATGTGTCCCCTCTTCTTCATGTCTCTTCTACATCAACATGTGTCCCCTCTTCTTCATGTCTCTTCTACATCAACATGTGTCCCCTCTTCTTCATGTCTCTTCTACATCAACATGTGTCCCCTCTTCTTCATGTCTCTTCTACATCAACATGTGTCCCCTCTTCTTCATGTCTCTTCTACATCAACATGTCCCCTCTTCTTCATGTCTCTTCTACATCAACATGTGTCCCTCTCTCATGTCTCTTCTACATCAACATGTGTCCCCTCTTCTTCATGTCTCTTCTACATCAACATGTGTCCCCTCTGTGTAAAGAGATTCTGAAAGTTTCAGGAACAAAGATTCTCTCTTTTTGTCCTGATCCATTTCTATAAAAACCTGTCTGAAAATGAGCTGATCAGATTTTGGCCACTTTATGATGTCATAACGATGTTTTGTCTTGTGTAACCATTAGCCAATCAGCAACCAAGGTACCCCCCCCCCCCCCCCTTATCACCTGAATCTCCTCCTAGAGCACCAGTGTGTTCTTTTTAACCAAATCTCTCTCAGAGGGGCGTGGGGAGGGGCTCCTTATTTTCATCTAAAGTAACAGACAGAGAATCAGCACTTTGGAAACAAGGCTGAAACAGAGGGGATTATGGGTAATGCTGCAATGATTTGTTTGGTGTTTCGAGCCAATCAGAGACATGTTCTGTATATATCTGAGACCTATAATATATTGATGAAAAACAGTATAATAGGGGACCTTTAAGACTAAGGCTATCTAAAAGAAGGGAAAAATGTCCCTGTGTCTGTATCCCTGAATTGTTCCGTGTTGCTTCAGGTGTACACGAGGTCGGTGATTGACCCGATCCCCGCTCCAGAAACGGACGGCGCCGCTAAGGGGGCCGACCGTCAGAAGAAGAAGCCGGGAGGCAAGATGACTGACGAGGAGATCATGGAGAAACTTAGTATGTGAAACACACGCTGGAAATGACACATCGCAGGCACTGCCGCATCTATTTCTGGATCGAGTAGAGCTGACTAAACAATTTTGTATGACTCCTAGGAACTATTGTCAGCATTGGAGATCCTAAGAAGAAGTACACTCGCTATGAGAAGATCGGCCAGGGGTGAGTTTAAATTCATCAGTGGGAACATCGCACATTGTCAGGAATTTGACGGAGATTGTTTAATGGGTTGCTGGCCTAAATTGACCAATAGGGAAAAGTTGTAATTGTGGAGGAAATTCTTAAGAGAAACTGATAAATGATTCATGGACAAAGTTTGTCTTTTGTTATATTTAATAAAGTAATAAAGAAAGTCAATATACAAGTGAAATCGATCTCAAATGCAGGAACGGAGCAACTTCCTCCTCAAAGGATAAAATGGCTTTACACCCAGAACACAGCTTACAGTCACACTGTATAGTAGAGAGAATAGCGAACTTGTCCCACCCATGCAAATGTTTTGGCATCATCTAAACATCCCCACCATTAAACCCTCCAACCATTTGCAAACCCATCTTTTGCACTTCCTGAAATGTAAATCCTTAGCACATGTCTCTGTTAAACACATATAAGACTACAAATACAACGTAACAGTGTAAAAGGCAATAAGAGTATATGTTTTAAATGATTATATGAACATTTGACACGAGAGTAATTACTGTTTTTTTTCACTTTCAGAGCATCTGGCACAGTTTACACAGCCATAGATGTTGCCACAGGACAAGAGGTAAGGTGACTTCATTCAAAACACAGCGGTGGTACTGTTGGATTTAAGTAATTAATATTACAACTGCTGCTGATTCTGTTATATTCCAGTTATCACGACATTTGAAGGTCAACCTGAAGTTACGAAGAAGCATTACTGAAGTTTTGAAGAGGGCGACTTTGTACTACTACTGATAATAAGAGAGTTATCTCCCTCTTCCAAGAAGATCTCTATTCAAAATATATATTAAAAACCTAATTCCTCTCTATAGATCTGTATCTATGTTTCCTTTTTGCGATGTTATATGTTCCTACTTTGACAGTCCAGGTTAAAAGTATGTTAAGCGTATATTGTAGTAGCATACACGTACATGAGTTCTTCCTTGCAGTCTCCCCCTATAGCTTGTGTGTACATGTGTTGGCACTATTAAAGCATGTTGTGTTCTGCAGGTGGCCATCAAACAGATCAACTTGCAGAAGCAGCCGAAGAAAGAGCTGATAATCAATGAGATCCTGGTCATGAAGGAGATGAAGAACCCCAACATTGTCAACTTTGTAGATAGGTAACGCTGACCCTAACACACGCTGTACGTACAGACATACCGTGTGTCCACTGTGTTGTGGCTGACTGTGTGTGTTCTCAGTTTCCTCGTAGCAGACGACCTCTACGTGGTGATGGAGTACCTGGCGGGTGGTTCTCTAACTGACGTGGTGACAGAAACCTGCATGGACGAGCCTCAGATCGCGGCTGTGTGCAGAGAGGTAGGACTCTTGAAAGACGTTTTAAAAACTGCCAAAGCACATCATGAGTTATACATCATGCGGACAATGAAGGGCTCAATAGATCCCATCTATTTGATCTTTTCTTGAATATAATTTACCTCTGTTATTTATTTGTTTGTCTATTTATCTGCTTATTTGTCTGTTTATTTATTTGTTGTTTTATATTTTTGTTTAGTTTTTGAATAATAAATGTATTTCTTTAAGAAAAAAGAAAAAAATATATATGTTAGTAATTTCGTTTTTGGGAGAAGCGGTGGGATTAAATAAGTGTAAACTTCGTCCCACCCCTTTTCTGATGTGTAATTAAGTAGATTATTTGTTTATATATAATTTATAATCATTAATATTTTTGTATATCAAGTTGACACTGATTACATTTGAATTGTATAATAAATCTCATGTTACATTTTTGTATTATTGTTTTACACATTCGAAATAAATCTAATCAAATCAGATTTTACAGGACAATGGAACAACATGTTAACATTTATTAACCTACCAAACCGTGGGAAAATCAAAACTTTATTCCTTCTCATAAAACATTTGCAAAGACAATTTTGTTATTAAATGTTAGAACCTGTGTTGCTTACATCCATGTTTACTAGCTTGCAGTCAGATTTGTATTCCCTGCATTTGCCAGCATATTGCTGTGATCCTTGCTCACTGCTGCCACCTGTAGGTCACTTGAATTGTGTGCACCATGCTTTTAAAGGTCACCTATTATGCAAAATCCACTTGTTCCTGTCTCTTCTACATCAACATGTGTCCCCTCTTATTCATGTCTCTTCAGTGTTCATTCTCTCTACATCAACATGTGTCCCCTCGTCTTCATGTCCTCTTCTACATCAACATGTGTCCCCTCTTCTTCATGTCTCTTCTACATCAACATGTGTCCCCCTCTTCTCCATGTCTCTTCTATCATCAACATCTGTTGGTCCCCTCTTCTTCATGTCTCTTCTACATCAACAGTGTGTCCCCTCTTCTCATGTCTCTTCTACATCAACATGTGTCCCCTCTTCTTCATGTCTCTCTCTCAACACATGTGTCCCCTCTTCTTCATGTCTCTTCTACATCAACATGTGTCCCCTCTTCTTCATGTCTCTTCTACATCAACATGTGTCCCTTCTTCTTCATGTCTCTTCTACATCAACATGTGTCCCCTCTTCTTCATGTCTCTTTACATCAACATGTGTCCCCTCTTCTTCATGTCTCTTCTACAATCAACATGTGTCCCCTCTTCTTCATGTCTCTTCTACATCAACATGTGTCCCCTCTTCTTCATGTCTCTTCTACATCAACATGTGTCCCCTCTTCTTCATGTCTCTTCTACATCAACATGTGTCCCCTCTGTGGAAAGAGACTCTGAAAGTTTCAGGAACAAAGATTCTCTCTCTTTTTGTCCTGATCCATTTCTATAAAAACCTGTCTGAAAATGAGCTGATCAGATTTGGCCCACTTATGATGTCATAACGATGTTTTGTCTTGTGTAACCATTAGCCAATCAGCAATCAAGGAAACCCCCCCCCCCCCCCACCATTGTGTTCTTTGTAACCAGATATCTCTCAGAGGGGCGTGGGGAGGGGCTCCTTATTTTCATCTAAAGTCACAGACAGAGAATCAGCACTTTGGAAACAGGGCTGAAACAGAGGGGATTATGGGTAATGCTGCAATGATCTGTTTGGAGCCAAACACTTCAGAGACATGTTTTGTATATATATCTGAGACCTGTGATATATTGAGGAAAAACAGTATAATAGAGGAGCTTTTCTTAAGGATCCTCACCTTCCTCTCTCTTTGCATCCAGGTCCTCCAGGCTCTGGAGTTTCTCCATGCCAACCAGGTCATCCACAGAGACATCAAGAGTGACAACGTCCTGCTGGGGATGGACGGATCAGTGAAACTCAGTGAGGGAGAGCACTCACACATAGCACTGCTGACTTAACTTATGAGGAAATACACCTCACCTCTGTACTGTATGTGGCCCCCTGTGAAAAAAGTCTGGACACCCCTGATCTAAAGATATATTTATTTTCTTTTTTTCGCAGCTGACTTCGGCTTCTGCGCCCAGATCACCCCCGAGCAGAGCAAGCGCAGCACCATGGTGGGCACCCCGTACTGGATGGCTCCGGAGGTGGTGACCAGGAAAGCCTACGGGCCCAAAGTGGACATCTGGTCTCTGGGAATCATGGCCATAGAGATGGTGGAGGGAGAGCCTCCATATCTGAACGAGAACCCTCTCAGGGTGAGTGTGCGCTGGGAGACAGAACGGACACGTGGCTATATTGGAAGCAAGTCACAATTATTTTCACGATCCCAAATCTGGCCAAATTGTATTTACATTGGGCTTAAATAAATAGGCAGAACCAGGCTAGCTGTTTCCCATGTTTTCACCATGGATGTATAATAAGAACTGGATACAGCGTGGGAGGCGGGGTCTCGTTCTTTCCTATGAGAGCTGCTCATTGGCGCATGAGGACAAAATGGCCCAACTTTTGAGAGAGCGAAACGTCACAGATTACCCGTCATGCCTGGCTGTCAGAGCAGAAGAACCCGTATGTGCGCTCACAGAGCATGCGCCCCTTAAGCCCCGCCCCCCGAGATCCCACTCTCGGCTCACTAGAATGAATGGAGAGAGAAAATAAATCTAGATTCGGCTTTTAGTGCATTTTACAACTTTAAGGACATAATGATTCTAATAAGGGCTATAAAATAGTTCCTACTGGGTAGTTAATTTAGTTAAAAAAAAATTATCTGCTGATTTACAGACGTTTCTTTCCCAATGTTAGTCAATGGGAAAAAGTTGTTTTGGGCCGGGTGACGTCACGGACTGATACGGAAGTTGCAGTACCGCCGTTTGGACACTACGAATATTGGCACAGAGTCCGGCGCACTTCCTGGGGGCTTGGTTTTCACCCTTTGTGCTAAGCTCAGCTAACTTGCTTTAGCTTCGACAGATTTGGGGGTGGTATCCATCTTCTTTTTTTTATGTTGTAAGTGGCTATTTAACATTTTTGTTCAGCCATCTGGCCTTTGTAAAGTCATACAAATTCCCTTAATCAAAATATACATTCCTTCCTTATCACTTATGTCTTGGCAGCCCTCACATTGTACAGAGTAAGGAATGAGTATTGCTGCCACACCTTTGTTATTCAGACCGTTTAGCTTAAGTAATACCACCAATGCTCAATGTCACAAAATGTAGAGTATCCATCTTCTAGTCAAAAAAGCAAATACACCTATTTCCGAAAATGTTGGAGCTATGTCTTTACTTCCAATGAGAGAGGTAGTCCATCGTTACATTTCTATTGTTGTTTTGGTTTCCTATTTTATCATCAAATATCGCATCCATATCATTATGAACCAAATGACTGAACAAAACCACATAATGGAATATTTCTTTTATTTTTGTGTCGGAACCGCTTTTTCCGACCTTGATATTGTGCTCTCCTCAGGCTTTGTATTTAATCGCCACCAATGGGACTCCGGAGCTTCAGAGTCCAGAGAAGCTGTCTCCCGTCTTCAGGTCCTTCCTGTCCCGCTGTCTGGAGATGGACGTGGAGAAACGAGGGTCAGGCCGAGAACTCCTGCAGGTATGAAAGCACTACACTCACACTGATTCAAATTTAGAAAGTAAAGGGCAGGTACTTGCTCGTTGTGATGACTAAGTTCAAGGTGATTGTTGGGAAAACACTCAATGTACTCTTCCAATATCAGAGCACACATGATAACAAAGGTATCCCAACTGTAGCTGTGTACATGACAGGATGTGTGATTACCTAGAAGAGCATCAGGACTGTTTGAGGCATATGATAGCTATGTGATTAACATGATGATTCAGCCTCCATGGAGATAGACATATGACAAGCATGCTCATTTCTGTCGTGGAGCTAATCTGAAGTAAACATTGAATACTGCTTTCTATTCCTCCATCTTGTGACTGTGTAACTCCCTCTCTTGGATATCAGCATGTGAAGGACACTGTTCAGGAACTAGTTGATGATAATAAATACATAGATCCTGATATTGAAGCTCAAGCCGGTGACAGTGATGTATTCAAATTTCGTACTAATGGCTGGAAAAACCCAAAAATGTGATAAAAATGTTACAAGACAAAAAAAAATAGCAAATCCTTACATAAAAAAATTCAGCGTTAGAAGTTTAAACATTAAAAGTTCAAAAATATGCCTCCTTTACTACAAAATCTTTTGAATTGCATGAAGGACAATCTGTTATCCGATTAGGCAGGCATGAAATAATCATAATGATAAAGGCTTTGAGCGTCTGGAAACAGTTTCACTCCCAACTCGTCCTATATGGATCCCTTGGCGTCACTTCCAAACTCACTGGGAGGCCCTTTAGCGTCGACTTTCAACTATCAGGGTCCTCCCATTGACTTGAATAGAGCTCCCTAAACGTTGGTAATAGACGACTTGAGATCGTGGAGAAATGCTCTCTGCCAACCCAGTGTCACAGCGTTTATCAACTTGTTTCTGACTCAATATCAAGCCACAATTATTGTTTTTACTTCTTTATTTTCAATTGTTTTACGTCCGTCTTTTTGCCGTCAGTGAGGAAGAGAGAATACTGAAATCTGTATTTTCTTATCCTTTTTTATTCTATTCTAATCCACACACTTATTTACTCAACAATAAGCCACAATTATTCTTGTTTTTATTTATTTGTTTAATTGAATAATGTTGGATCCTGGCCAAATGTCAATATTGTTTAGGTAACTTTTTAACATTTTTAAAGAACCACATTCTTTTGACTTATTCGTCATTTAGGCTACCAAATGTCATCAACAAGTGTACATCGAAATGTCAACAACAATGACGTCTTGGTAAAGTGTGTTGTCCGACCAACAGTCAACAAGCTGAAAATGTGCAAAGACCACAGCACATGTTAGTCGTTTGTGCTTGTCACATGACACAGGTTTGGCGTTTAAATGTTATTTTTCGTGTACTCTGACCTTATTATATTTCACGTCTTCACTCCTCTGTCTCTCTCTCTCTCTAGCACCCATTCCTGAAGCTGGCCAAGCCTCTGTCCAGCCTCACCCCGCTCATCCTGGCAGCCAAGGAGGCCATGAGGAGCAACCGCTAACTGTCTGCACGGACTTTAAGATGCCACTGACAGGGAAATCCTCCAGCCTCTCCTACTGGTCGACGCATGACGACCATCGGCAAACTGCTAGTGTTATAATTGTTTTTCAAAGGGGTCACAAAACGCCTATCCACTTTCTTCCAGTGTTTTCTTACCTTTGGTGCCTTGTTCTAAAGCTGCATAAAGCCATGATGTGTTTTCCATGTGCTGCAGCCAGAGTATGTTTATTTGGTGGGTTTTACTCTGGTTACTACAGTATGCAATCCAGGAATGTGGTTTCAATGTTGCAAAGGTTCAAGACTCTTTACAGGCTAATGGGCCATATTCATATACACTAGGAGTCCTCGGAGAAGACGCTTTAAAAAAGAGTTTTCTCAAAATAACAACCTGCTGCTGAGAGCTAAAGAAGAAACTGGGTATGGCCTTTTCCTATAAGACATATGGATTAATACGTCCACTCGTTTCTCTACAGTGATTGGTTGACAGGTCTGTCAGTGAACAAAATCAGGCAAAGACATTTCTATTTCTTCAGGGCTGCAAACTAAACATCCTCAAATAGTGGCATGTTGTGCAAAGCATCGTCTGTTAGTGAGTGGGGCTTTTTCATTCTTGTGTTTTTGGCCCATCAGGTTATGACTTGTGAGCGAGATCTCGTGCTGATTTGCCCTCTGAGTTTCTTGTTGGGGTCTTAGAATGTGCCGTTATTTTTTATTTCTTACGACTCAGAAAGTTTGGAGCTAGTTTAAGAATTAGTTGGTTTTTTTTAAATAAGGAAATCATCATTAAAATGTAGTGTCATGTAAAGGATTTGTAGGACAACACAAGATATGAAGAGTGGGAAATGTCCATGTGTGTGGAGAGATGGAACTTTTGCAACTGGTTTCTACGGTTGCTCTTTCTGCGGAGACACGTGCATCCAGACTGGGTCCAATAGTACAAAGAAAAGAGGCATGGAAAGTGTGTAATGATATACTGGGCTGTACTGTGGCCCTCAGCATGGGACCCTGTCGTCTTTGTGCAGAGGAGAAGCCATTATCAGTAAGTAGTTTGACGTTCAGTTTGTTATACTAGGCAATACAAAAAAATGGCTTCTTTGGGTGTATCAACCCCAGAATATAATTAATTTAACTTCACACACTTCTGCTATCACACTCTTTGTGCAGGTTGTTCTACAAACTGCACAACACTGTAAAAACATTTCTATCGATGTGCTTGTCCTTAGCTGTGCCTTTACAATAGATGCCTTACACACATACTGTATCAGACTGTCTGGACGTGTTGAACTGGAGGTTGCTTCTTTTGTTGTTGTATATTATGTTTTGGTGATGTCCTGTATTTTTTAACAGCTTTCGAAAAGTATGCATTGTTTTATATTTGTAACTAACACAACAGAAGACCATTTTTTCCCCCTGAACATTACAACCTTTGATAAGCCTGAGACAATCAAGTCAGACTTGAGTCGAGATGTATTAAGAAAGTATTGTTTAACCTGCTTTGAGTACCACATGAGTCTTGGTTTATACCTCTGTTTCAACGTTTAGGAAAGCATTTTAAATCATTTACTGAACGTGCCTCTGTCAGATTCATCGTGAATCCCACTCGTATGGTACTTAACAGGTTGACACACAAACTGAGTACATTTCATTACTATGAACAGGCTGGGAAACACTGATATGTGGCTTTTTGACAAGAACACACATTCCAGTTGTATACATAAAATATGAGTGATTGAAAAGTCTGAAATGATTGTGTTGTTGTTAATTATAAAACCAACAACTTCTGGCGTCAAATATCATCAATACATTATGTAAATTATTATTAAAGGTGGACTTAAATTGGTTTGTGTCTGGATTTCTGACCGGGCCTACTGGGTTTAGGGGCGACGACCACAGAATCAGACAATTGACTCAAATGCAAGACTAGAAAACACACACAAGACAGGGGAAACAATCACACAATGGAAACACACATGGGCAGGAATTAAAGTATCTACAATGAGACAAATATAATGTATACAAAAAATCACAGAAAACTGCAAACAGAGAAAGCATAACCTGAGACGATAAGAGGGCATGACACGTTAAAGTGACCGTTAATAATTGTTGTTTGAAAGTCAATCAAACAACAACAATTGGATGCAAAATCCACCATAGAACTAGCAGACACAAAATGTCGTGTCTCTACTTTAAAGAGTCCTCTCCTGCTGATGTTCAGGTGTATATCAGTATGTAGTGTCTCTACTTTAAAGAGTCCTCTCCTGCTGATGTTCAGGTGTATATCAGTATGTAGTGTCTCTACTTTAAAGAGTCCTCTCCTGCTGATGTTCAGGTGTATATCAGTATGTACCTCTACTTTAAAGAGTCCTCTCCTGCTGATGTCCAGGTGTATATCAGTATGTAGTGTCTCTACTTTAAAGAGTCCTCTCCTGCTGGTGTTTAGGTGTATATCAGTATGTAGTGTCTCTACTTTAAGAGTCCTCTCCTGCTGGTGTTTAGGTGTATATCAGTATGTAGTGTCTCTACTTTAAAGAGTCCTCTCCTGCTGATGTTCAGGTGTATATCAGTATGTTGTGTCTCTACTTTAAAGAGTCCTCTCCTGCTGATGTTCAGGTGTATATCAGTATGTCGTGTCTCTACTTTAAAGATTCCTCTCCTGCTGGTGTTCAGGTGTATATCAGTATGTAGTGTCTCTACTTTAAAGAGTCCTCTCCTGCTGATGTTCAGGTGTATATCAGTATGTAGTGTCTCTACTTTAAAGAGTCCTCTCCTGCTGATGTTCAGGTGTATATCAGTATGTAGTGTCTCTACTTTAAAGAGTCCTCTCCTGCTGATGTTCAGGTGTATATCAGTATGTACCTCTACTTTAAAGAGTCCTCTCCTGCTGATGTCCAGGTGTATATCAGTATGTAGTGTCTCTACTTTAAAGAGTCCTCTCCTGCTGGTGTTTAGGTGTATATCAGTATGTAGTGTCTCTACTTTAAAGAGTCCTCTCCTGCTGGTGTTTAGGTGTATATCAGTATGTAGTGTCTCTACTTTAAAGAGTCCTCTCCTGCTGATGTTCAGGTGTATATGTAGTGTCTCTACTTTAAAGAGTCCTCTCCTGCTGGTGTTCAGGTGTATATCAGTATGTAGTGTCTCTACTTTAAAGAGTTCTCTTCTGCTGATGTTCAGGTGTATATCAGTATGTAGTGTCTCTACTTTAAAGAGTCCTCTCCTGCTGATGTTCAGGTGTATATCAGTATGTCGTGTCTCTACTTTAAAGATTCCTCTCCTGCTGGTGTTCAGGTGTATATCAGTATGTAGTGTCTCTACTTTAAAGAGTCCTCTCCTGCTGATGTTCAGGTGTATATCAGTATGTAGTGTCTCTACTTTAAAGAGTCCTCTCCTGCTGATGTTCAGGTGTATATCAGTATGTAGTGCCTCTACTTTAAAGAGTCCTCTCCTGCTGATGTTCAGGTGTATATCAGTATGTACCTCTACTTTAAAGAGTCCTCTCCTGCTGATGTCCAGGTGTATATCAGTATGTAGTGTCTCTACTTTAAAGAGTCCTCTCCTGCTGGTGTTTAGGTGTATATCAGTATGTAGTGTCTCTACTTTAAAGAGTCCTCTCCTGCTGATGTTCAGGTGTATATCAGTATGTAGTGTCTCTACTTTAAGAGTCCTCTCCTGCTGATGTTCAGGTGTATATCAGTATGTAGTGTCTCTACTTTAAAGAGTCCTCTCCTGCTGATGTTCAGGTGTATATCAGTATGTAGTGTCTCTACTTTAAAGAGTCCTCTCCTGCTGATGTTCAGGTGTATATCAGTATGTAGTGTCTCTACTTTAAAGAGTCCTCTCCTGCTGATGTTCAGGTGTATATCAGTATGTAGTGTCTCTACTTTAAAGAGTCCTCTCCTGCTGATGTTCAGGTGTATATCAGTATGTACCTCTACTTTAAAGAGTCCTCTCCTGCTGATGTCCAGGTGTATATCAGTATGTAGTGTCTCTACTTTAAAGAGTCCTCTCCTGCTGGTGTTTAGGTGTATATCAGTATGTAGTGTCTCTACTTTAAAGAGTCCTCTCCTGCTGATGTTCAGGTGTATATGTAGTGTCTCTACTTTAAAGAGTCCTCTCCTGCTGATGTTCAGGTGTATATCAGTATGTAGTGTCTCTACTTTAAAGAGTCCTCTCCTGCTGATGTTCAGGTGTATATCAGTATGTAGTGCCTCTACTTTAAAGAGTCCTCTCCTGCTGATGTTCAGGTGTATATCAGTATGTAGTGCCTCTACTTTAAAGAGTCCTCTCCTGCTGATGTTCAGGTGTATATCAGTATGTTGTGTCTCTACTTTAAAGAGTCCTCTCCTGCTGATGTTCAGGTGTATATCAGTATGTCGTGTCTCTACTTTAAAGAGTCCTCTCCTGCTGATGTTCAGGTGTATATCAGTATGTAGTGTCTCTACTTTAAAGAGTCCTCTCCTGCTGATGTTCAGGTGTATATCAGTATGTAGTGCCTCTACTTTAAAGAGTCCTCTCCTGCTGATGTTCAGGTGTATATCAGTATGTAGTGTCTCTACTTTAAAGAGTTCTCTTCTGCTGATGTTCAGGTGTATATCAGTATGTAGTGTCTCTACTTTAAAGAGTTCTCTTCTGCTGATGTTCAGGTGTATATCAGTATGTAGTGTCTCTACTTTAAAGAGTCCTCTCCTGCTGATGTTCAGGTGTATATGTAGTGTCTCTACTTTAAAGAGTCCTCTCCTGCTGATGTTCAGGTGTATATCAGTATGTAGTGTCTCTACTTTAAAGAGTCCTCTCCTGCTGATGTTCAGGTGTATATCAGTATGTACCTCTACTTTAAAGAGTCCTCTCCTGCTGATGTTCAGGTGTATATCAGTATGTAGTGTCTCTACTTTAAAGAGTCCTCTCCTGCTGGTGTTTAGGTGTATATCAGTATGTAGTGTCTCTACTTTAAAGAGTCCTCTCCTGCTGATGTTCAGGTGTATATGTAGTGTCTCTACTTTAAAGAGTCCTCTCCTGCTGATGTTCAGGTGTATATCAGTATGTAGTGTCTCTACTTTAAAGAGGCCTCTCCTGCTGATGTTCAGGTGTATATCAGTATGTAGTGTCTCTACTTTAAAGAGTCCTCTCCTGCTGGTGTTCAGGTGTATATCAGTATGTCGTGTCTCTACTTTAAAGAGTCCTCTCCTGCTGGTGTTCAGGTGTATATCAGTATGTAGTGTCTCTACTTTAAAGAGTTCTCTTCTGCTGATGTTCAGGTGTATATTAGTATGTAGTGTCTCTATTTTTCTCAAGGACCTTTGAAAATTGTGAAAGCCAGGACACTGGTCTGTAGTTGGTAAATTGGCTTTTGTCCCCTGTTTTAAAAAGTGGGATAACTTTAGCTATTTTCATGCTATCTGGGAAAATACCTGTCTGAAATGAAAGATTAAAAATGTAGCTTAGCGGTTTAATTATGCAGTCAATAGTCGTTTTCACTATTGTCATGTCGATCCCATCACTATCTGTCGAAGTCTTATTTTTGCATTTGTCTACAATGGATCTAATTTCAATTTCGTTTATCTCTCCCAGAAACATTGACTGCAACACTTTACTTCCCCCAATTCCGCCATCCTCTTTTTGCCCATCGTGTTGTTTTGGAATAGTCTTTGCAAGATTAGGTCCGACATTTACAAAAAAAGAGTTGAATTCATGTACCACTTCATTCATGTTTTTTACAACCTTATTTTTGTCATCAATGAAGTGACTGGGCAGGCCAGTGGATACAGATTTATTTCCAATAACATTATTTAAGATTTTCCATGTGCCCTTGATATCATTTTTCTTTTCTTTTAACATATTATTATAATATTCTCTTTTTGCTTGTCTCATTATAACTGTCAACTTATTTTTATATGCCTTGTATTGCTTTTCAATTGCCTTTGTCCTAAATTTTATGAGGTCTTTATAAAGGTTATTTTTCTTCTTGCAAGCATTTTGTAAGCCCTTGGTTATCCAAGGCTTTTGATGATAAGTACCTTTATATGTACGGAGTACAGTGGGACAATGTTTGTCATACAGTGATATGTAGATTGTTAGGAAGGACTCATATGCAGCATTTACATCTTCTACATAAACCCCTCTCCACTCTTCCTTTAAGAGGTCATTCCTAAATTTGTCTTTTGCTTCAGCAGTCCTTACCCTGACATATCTACTGCGAGTCTCTTCCTTATTTTTCTTTAATTGCCAATCATATGCTACAAATACAGGTAAATGGTCGCTTATGTCATTTATTATTAGCCCACTCTTAGCACTGTTTTCCATGACATTTGTAAAGATATTGTCGATCAATGTTGCACAAGTTGATGTTATTCTACTGGGCTTAGTGGGGATAAAGCCCCCTGCTGTACAAAGCATCCAGGAAATCAGAAGTTGTTTTGTGTTTAGATACATTTAGAAGATCGATGTTAAAATCCCCACAAATAATACATGTTTTATTTTCATTTAGGCCATCCATTAATACTCCTAAACTATCTTTAAAAAGCTCTACATTTGATCCTGGTGCTCTATATGCACAAGTCACAACAACATTTCTCTTCCTTTCCATTTCAATTTCTATAGTTATGCATTCCATTAAATCATCAGTCACAATTGACATTTTTTCAACCAGTGTGCATTTTAGGACGCTGTCCACATAAAGAGCCACACCCCCTCCTCTCTTATTGGTTCTGTTGATATGGTGTAGCACGTAACCCTCAATTTGGAAATCAGTGACTTCGTCTTTATTTAGCCAAGTCTCCGATATGGCAATTACTTTGAATTTACTTTTAAATGTATGTAGGTATTCAGTGATCTTATTAAAGTTTG